GCGACAGAGACAGAGAGCTGGTCGCCGATGCACCGCGCGTGACTGTACTCCTTCCCCGTTTAACGACGCCTATGGATTCATTATTTCCGCCAGCAGAGCGAACAGTGTTGTGTCGCCGACTCTCTCGCTCCCCTACGGGCAGCCTCACGAGTGCGAGAGAGAGGAACGAGTCCCTAGAGGTAGGCAACCCCTCCACGGCCTTCCTCTTCGAGCCAGCGAACTCGCACGGCGTTCCAGCGTGTCGCTGCGGTAGCCCCGCAGCCCGCGAGGCTCCAGGCTGGAATTTGTCAGCATCGGGTGGAAAGTTGCCCGCAGGAGGGACACCACAGCGCACCAGTGGAGGGGAGAGGATTGCCAGGAACATGTTCACCCTGGGGCATTTCGCTGCCGACGTCTCCCGACGCGTGCACAGCATGTGGGGCCCTTGGTCCCTGCGCCACGGCCAGCCACCCAGCCACCGGCCAGATCGGTGAGGTAAGGCTCGTGTCGACACGACGCGGCGGCGGGTTCAAAAACCGACACCTTTTTGTGTTTTCCTTTTTGCCGCCTCGTTTCGGCCGCGTCGGTGGCGTCATTTAGGAGATCGCCATCATCTAGCTGCGCGGTGAGCGCCTGGAAGCTCCACAGCACTGTAGGCTGGTTCCGAGATCCGTCGCTCTGCCTCTCTCGCACCCACACGGCACGCCCCTAGTGGGAGAGAGACGGAGCGACGAAAGCGGCTCTCGGAATCAGTCTGCTGGCTGGGCTTCTTGATGGCGAGCGAAGAGGGGCAAGGCTGCGGTAAACGAGTGAGCCCCAAAGAAGGAGCATCCAGGCACACCAGCGCGCGATTTGAAAAACAAACACACCGCAGCGCAAAACACGGCCCGGCTAATTATAAGCCTTTTTTTCCCAGCGCGTGCTGCACTGTGAAATGTTGCACGGTGAGACATACGGCACGCAGAACGCCGCGGACGCCGCGGAGCGACGAGGCTGAAAGAAACCGTCGCAGAGCGAAATGCATCGGCTGGCTTCCAGCACGTCTCCCGTCCGATAGCGTTCGAAGGGCCGTCTCTCTCTGTCTCTCTCGCACCCCTACGGCACGCCCCGTGGGTGCGAGAGAGACAGCGACACTCCTTGGGCATCGCCAGGCATCGCTCGGCGGCCCCCACTTTGCTCCCCCCTCGTTTCGGCTTCGGCCGAGGCGAACAGGCGAAGCGGGCGGGGCGTTCACCTTCACCTCCCGGACGACACCATGCACTACGTGTTGCAGCAGAGAAAGGCGCGGCAGCGCGCCGAGGCGTCCAGCCGGCTTTTATAAACTGAAAGCGAGCCGGCGCGGCGGGGCGGGGCGGGGCGGGGCGGGGCGGGGCGGGGCGGGGCGGGGCGGGCGGGCTGGGCGCGGCGCTATGGCGGCCCGCCGCGCTCGCGCTACCGTGGGTCTCGATCATCAAGTGCCAGACCGCAGTCGTCAGGCAGTCCGGCAGCCCCGCCAAGTCGCGCAGCACTGCAAAGACCAACCTCCCCGAAAAGTCGTTATCTGCGACTTGCCGTGGTTTATCTGGTCGCTTGGCATTGCAGTCGTACCCGCCCCGCCCCGCGGTGTCGTTGCAGCCGCGGCTCCAGACGGACGTTTCCAGTGTGTCGTCTCGTCCGGCAGTCCGGCGGCTCTAACGGTCAGCCCGATAGCTAAACGAGTCTGCCGTCGTCCGAGTGCCGGCGGCCGGTGCGCGCCGAACCGAACCGCTAGAAGGCCGCGGAGGAGGACGCCGAACACGCCGAGGACGCCGCCGAGGAGGACGCCGAGCAGCGCGTCCCCAAGGACGTCCTCCTCGCCGCGGACGTCGACGACGGCACGACGGCGGCCTTGGGCGGGCGGGCGCGCACGGGCGTGGCGCGCGGACCGCGGCCGGCCACCACGGCCACTGCCGGCCACTGCCCTCCCCGCGCGTCTTTTTCCCGGTTATCTAACGCGCGTTCTGTTTATTCACACCTCTTTTCGAGGCGCACCGCACCGGCGGGGCGGTAGGCCAGTGGCCGAACGAATGGTCGGTATGGTACGTCGGATGGGCCATTGTGTAACCGGCAGCCGGCAGCGGAGCACAGCGAAGCGCGCCAAGCAGCTCACGCGCGGGGAAAGCACTGCGCGCCCACACTCGTAGCCGCCTAATGGAGACGCACACCAAATACTAGACTCTTCTCTGGAGGCGCGGTAGTGGTTTTACAGTGGCGGATCGATGAAATTTCGTTTTCTGGACAAACCGCGCCAACCAGGTAATCTCGTCAACTCAACGTGGCCTGGTTGTTTGTCTAGGAAGCATTTGATGGGTCTACGAGCTTTGTTTCTGAGGCCTAGAACGTACAAGACCTACACGCCGACCGAGCCATGGACATAAGACAAGGACAAGGTAGCCAGCAAGGCAGCAAGCGTTATTTAATCGACAACAAACGCACCGAGTGCTCCGGCCTGGCGAATGGTGGGTGTCATTACACTGTAAGACCGGCGCTAGGCCGCGCTAGGCCGCGCTAGACCACACGCGCTGCAACGCGTCCACTTAGGCCCACCCTTGGACCGCGCCGACCGAAACGACGGCCTGCATGGCCTTGAGCGCCGCTTTGTCTGCTTTGTCCGAGCAGCACATCCCTATCGGCCAATGCCGCACTTCTCTCTCGCACTCACGGCGGCGCACAGTGGGCCAGAAGACCGGTGGAGGCGTCAAAAATTCTAGACGCGTTTTAAGCTCCAGAGTCGCTAAATGGGACTCGGACCTACCGTGTGACCCCACCAATGGGGTGCTCTCCGAACGAGGAATCCATTGGTGGGGTCACACGCTCACTTCTAGACCTGTTTAGCGACACTGGAGCTCAAAACGCATCTAGAGTTCTGGTCGCCTTCACCGGTCTTCTGGCCCACTGTGCGGCGAGGTGCGAGAGAGACACAGCTATTTTCTAGCTCCTTGCAGAGCAAACACTTTCCCCCCGCTAAAGAGGCACTCTGTAGTCGATGACGGCTCGGCTCCGGCGAATCACACAGGGCAGCGCTACGCCGGCTTCCTTTTTTGCATTCGAAAAGTGAGAAGCGGGCATAGCGGGCTGCCCGGTCCGGTCCGCGGGGTCCGCGGAGCACGGCGTGGCCGGCGTGGCGTACCCACCTGGCGCAGCCTGGCGCAGCGAGTACATATCTTCACACGCAACGCGGGCATATTCCACTTGCAACATGCTCAGCGCGCTGTGAAGTGAATGAGCTGCTGCTGCGCACACACAGACACACGCACCACACACACCACACACACACACACACACACACACCACACACACACACACACACACACACACACACACAAGCGATAAGGAGACAAGGGGGGAGGCTGAGTGCACGTCTGCTCCACTGCGTACAACATCAAGGCCGAGCGCTGAATAGCGAATGGCCCGCAGGCTGCAGTGTAGGCTCCGCAGCAGCGGTGCAGCGGTGTGCAGTCGGCCGGCATCGAAAGTCGGCTGGCTGATCCCGAAACCGAGTTTGGAGCTCCGGCAAGAGTGATTTGGAAGACGAATTGTACTCTTGTCCGCGGCGGTATAACTGCACTAGTGCTGCTTGCACTAGGTTGGCAAAGGACTTCCTCTCAACAATTTTACAGAAAATGTTGAGCAACTTGCAACGCGGCTGTTAGTACTATTTGAAATAGGCATGCAAAGCAAGAAGCACCATCGTCTGAAGCGACTAGCCGCGCAATAATCGATAATTGATTTACTGGAGTCGAATCGGACAAGTCGAATCCGATATGGCGATTCGCAGAGCAAGCAGACTTGACCCTGACGGCCAACGGGTTGGCTCGCTCAATGAAGTGAATGTTGTTCGTCGGTACTCTACGAGTGGTACACCGGTACACCCAGAAAAACGGATGGGATCAACTTGATTCAATTTGACGACTGAGTTTTCCTCGATATTCCAGAGAGACTTTGGTCTCTGCTCTCCCTTTTTCTGTGTTTCCCTTTCCCCGGCCGACAGGACAGGTGGTTCCTTGACCGGTGCGTGGCCGAGGCGTAGCCGGGGACCGCGTCGCAGCGATAAGACATGTCTCGCTGGCCCGCGTCGGCAGCACGGCGGCAGCACGACGGCGCCAGCGAGCCCGGCCGCGTTTTTTGGCGTTTCGCGAGGCCAGCCGTGACTCCGTGACCGAAGCGGCGAAGCACTGCCGAGACTGCAAACAACGTCCGACGCGTTCCGTGAAAACAGCTGCCAATCAGCGCGCCGGTTCATTAGAACGATTGGGCAGTGCAGTGGTTCGGCTCGGCCTCCCCGGTGGTCGCGAGCAGAAATGGCCGCGGTCACTTTCCAAATTGATTTGAGGTAATTGGTAACCTTGGGGATGTCTTGTCATCAGCTCCAAAACTCGAGGCAGTTGATTTTCGCTCATTTGGGCTCCATTTCATTCATTGGAAACAAAACGAGTGAGCATTGGCCACTGTCTTCCTTTTAATCGAAATCCTGCTCCTGTGTGGATTTCTAGCAATCTAGTTTTCATGTCGTACCCACCAAATTTTTATAAACAATTCAACAAATTGTTTTGGGTTAGCTTAAAAGTAGAAAACAACAGTTGCTGCTGGACAAGTTTGGTTTGGGTTCTAAAGTAAAACGCCATCTAGCAGCAGTAAGCACTGAGGATACGTATACGAACGTGCCTCTATCGGACTGCATGCCATGCCATAGACCGCCTTTGTGGCCCGACGATCGGTAGCCAGTGTCAACATCTCGCCATCCATGGAAAGAGGTGAGCAACCTTGATATCGCAGACGACAAGTGCCACAGAGCAATCATAGAACGTCTGCACTGGAACTTGAGCGTGCTTGTGTTTTCTTATGGTTCTTAAGAACAATAGGGACACTGTGATCAAGAATTCAGCTTTTTAGTAATTTCCCTAGTTAACCCGAAAACATTGATTGTGTGTTACAGGGGATCCCTACATGCGTCTGGGTAAGACGTCTGACAACACCGCTTTCAAACTTAAGGTCAAACTCACCTGTCGGTAGTCTGGGAAGATGCGTAATCCAAAAAGTTCCTGAACGATGTCCACACAATCACAGCCACCAAAGTTGTAGCTTATCCACACGCACTCACACTCTCTCACGTCCGCTCACACGCACACAAGTCGAGGAAAACAACAGAAACTTGTGAAAAGCACACGAAACGCGAGCGCGCGCGTCTTTCGGGCGACTGTGCTCGCTCTCCGTCGCACTGCCTCGGTGCCGTATCGCTCTGTCTCTCTCCTCGCGCGGCGGGACGCAACGTCTGCTAGCCGCAACAGGCACCTGGTTACTGGCGGGCTGGCTGGCTGCTGGCTGGCTGGCTGGCTGGCGGCGGCGCGGCGCGCAACCCCCCACCCCCACCCCCTCCCCTTCCCCTCCTCGTCGTGGCGGTGGTCGCCGTGCTCGTGGAGGGGCGGCCTGCTGCCTGCCTGCCTGCCTGGCGTGGTGTGAGGAGGGGTTACCGAACGAAAGGCAGCGAGGCAGGCAGCCAGGCAGCCCGAGGTGCAGGTGGCAGAAGCACACAAGTGGACCGGTGAGCCTGCGGCCCTGCGGCCCAGCCGGACAGCCAGGAGCCGGCCAGCCAGCAGCCAGCCAGCCCGGCTGAGCAGGCTGAGCCGGCTGAGCGGCCATTCAAAACATCGCCCAGCCCTCGAACGCCAATTTGACCGAGTTCGGCTAAATTCGACTACCTGCGTCTCGCATTCGCACTTTCGATGTAACGCAGCGCTCTCATGATCAGAAACCGAGCGACGGGTCGGCCTTGTGTCGACGCGAAGACAGCGCCAGCACAAACGTAACTCAGGAGGCAACGCCAGGAAAACGCGCTCTACTCTCGGGACTCTCGGGCAGAAAAACATGACGATTGTACGAGTTTGCGAATGCACTCAAAATTCAATGGGCACTTCCCCGCCTTGAGCTGGACGCCGCAGCGCCGCAGTCAGCACCAAGGCGAGCCAGTCCAGCCAGTGGACTTCTCGGCGACCGCAGAGAGACGCTGCAAAATCCATCGATGCATCGGCAAGGCCTTGGTGCCTTGGCCGTGCTCGGTGTGGTCCATCACGCCGCGACCGCAACAACGAGGCACAGGGCAGTTGCAGGGGGTCTCCAAAGTGCTGCAAGGACGCGAAACGCGGTAGTAAGTATGGAAGTCCGCTTCCACGGCATCGCGCATAAAAACCGCAGGTTACTTAGCATTCCTCTCCATGACGACCGTCAGTCAGCGAGGCAAGGTGTCATGATGCTGCACCGGCGGCAACAACAACAACAAGAAAACGCACTGGTGCCACCCGAGGCTCGCTGCTGCCGCTTAGGCCGGCTTAGGCTTTACTTGGGCGACGCCAGGGTGGGCACCCCAGGTGCATGACCTGGTGCATGCACTGTGCGAAGAGGCTTTGCGCATTGAGAGCATCAAAGAAGGACGTGCACGACAAAGGCGACACACAGGGGGCGAGCACGCTTTGTTCGCAGGTACACTGAAAGCAAAAACGTAGGGGAAAATGAAATTTATTTTCGAAAGAAACTTGAATTTATTGTCGTGCTGGTGTGGATTTTAGCCCGACATTTGCGAAAAATGGACGGTTTCAGACGGCGACAAGGGGCACTCGGGAATGTTGAACTCAGGTGAGGGGAAGAAGAGACACAGTGTGCAGTGCGAGCCCCTCGCCCCGCCCCGCCCCGCCGAGCCCCGTTTTCGCCGTGCGCGTCGCGGGCCGCTCCGTCCAGCGCTCCGCGGCGCGGCAGCTGTTGGAGGAGTGGAGCGAGTGATCCACTGACCAGGCACGTCTCACTGAGTCTCACTCCCCTTTCCGGTGGAGTGGAGGGAGTGGCAGGGCATGGCCCTCGGCACGGCGCCAAAGTTCCGCTGCGCCACTCCCACCTCCCAAACCGACGATTCCTCCCAAACAGAAAGAAAACACTTTTATTGCTTCGAGGGGATTTGAACCCGGTGCGGCGGCGCGGGGGAGGGGGACTTGCGTCAGCGAGGCTGGCCACGCAGAGGTGTCATATACCCGATAAGACCTCCCTTATCAATTCCCCGAGCGACACCAGACCGACCGACACCAACAACAACAACAATACCAAGAACCGGCACACTGGTCCAATCACCGGGGCGGTTTGACTCAGAAAAGCCAATCAATTCCGAACGAAATTATCGCGAACACGGCGCGTGGGCTGCCTAGTGTATCGGCCAATTTTGTGGAAACGGGGGCTGGACGACCCATTGCCCGCTGCTGGGTTAAATGGTCAAAAACTGTTTCTCCGTCGATTTCCGACGCGATAACCGTTCGGCACAGTTTTTCTTCGCACCTCCGTGTCCGCCAAGCGCGCCAGGCCTTCCGCCCTAGAAAGATAAGTGCCCTGTCGTTTTGTGTGGACCGACTTGATAGTTGCTTTCCGTGCATCTTCCACGTCTTGGAGGCCACGCCCCACGCCGCCTTCTATTGCGCGCTGTGCCATGGCTGTGCCGACGGTGTGCCGACACTCGACGCGTTTCTCTATCCCCGTCTATCCCGCTCATTACGGTGATGAAGACGTTGCTATCCGCAAACGAGCGCGCTGTCTCTATCACTCGGATAGAGAGGCTTTCCTGGAAGCGGCGCCACTTTGTACGGGAACCGCCGGGAACCCTTGAAAAGCGGCAAGGCGGCAGAGCGGCAGGTCAAGCGATGGGAACGCGGTGGAAGCGAGCGGCACACTTTTACAGTGTCGGCTGGATTATTGTTTTTATGGAGTATTTGGAGCTAATTTGTACTTGTCCACGCGAGGGACCGCGGGACCCGCCCCCCGGACAGCACCACGCTACCCCCCCCCCCCCCGCCCCGCCCCGCCACAGTACGGCACGAGGCAGAGGGCTTAATAAGTAGAGTGGTCACTCGTAAAAACGAAGGCGCTTGTCAGCTGTCGACGGTGCCGGGGGGCTGCGGGGGGCTGCGGGGGGCTGCGGGGGGCCGGGGCTCCAGACATCGCGGGGCCCGCGGACTTGGACGCGAGGAGCGCGGCCAAACGAACGGTCCCCCAACGGCCAAAAACTCGACCGGCCACGACGGAAATTTAGCTCAGAAAAAAAAGCAGCTAGAGGAAAAAAAATAAAACATCACTCCGGTGGACAGGTTGTCATATAAAGGAGCTCACTCAATTAAACTCGCCTCATAATCTGCGAATCTCTGAACCTGAACCGTGGCGCCCAATTTTGAAGTTTTTAGTGCTCTTTTATTATTTTTCAATAACTGTATTTTTTTTGTGTTTTTAAAAAGGAGAAGATGAAACTGTCTCAGACGATTCCTTGGACGCCTTCTTTATTCAAATGTGCTCCCACTAAATGGCAACAAATAAGGAACAGGACAAGACACACTTGCAGGAGTGACATCGTCACAGACGCCTCGTGTGTGTGGGGTGTGTGTGTGTGTGTGTGTGTGTGTGTGTGTGTCTGTCTGTCTCTCTCTCTCTGTGACTAATGCCATTCCACTTATTCGAACGGCATATTGAGAGTGGCGAAACCAGGAAAGAGTGCGAATGCAACAAGATCACCACCCAGCCTGGGCGCCGAGCATGTATATGGATGCGGAGTATGTCTGTGTAGTGAGCGTGTGTGTGTAGGTGTGTCGGTGTGTCGGTGTGTGTGTGTGTGTCGGTGTGTCGGTGTGAGACGCACGACTGGTGCATGACCATACGATGCGACAGGTGGCAGTATTATAGTGCGAAAACACACCTCACGCACACACGCGCACCTGCTACACGAGTAAGTACAGGCACAACACAAACACACACACGTGCTCGCTTGTACACACACACACACACATTCCTACGCTTGTATATGGTATCGACTCCGTCCGCCACCTATGTATAAAGCAACAAATGCCGGAAAGGTATGTTGATGACCACACCCCACACACTCAGACGCTTTGCGAAAACGTTCAGAGCATTTGACAAAATTTTCATAGGAATTACTTCACGACAACGCACTCACCATTTACGTATTTCTCGGCATTTTTCTTTCTTTTTTTTTTCGTTTCCATTAACCCCTTGAGCGAGGCTGTGCATGCAAAGAGGTTCACTGCGGCCATTCTCCGGCTGATTAAGTTGCAAGGAGGGGGGGGGGGGGGGCTGGGGCGCCCTGGAACGCCCCGGAACGGCCGGGACTCCTGGACGAGGAAGGAAGGAAGTGAGTGGTTAGTGCAAGCGGCTTCTGCTGTGACTCATTAACACCAGGGGCCTGCATTGCAAAGCAGCGTATAGGGAGCCCCCCCCCCCCCTCTTTTCCACTGGGCGACATGCGACCGGAAGTGTCGCCTTAATTCCTTCCCAGTACGGTGGCGGTGCGATTTCTGTTCGGCCGGCCTGCGCCTTGGGGCTGCTGGCCGCTTTGCTTGGCGGCGCGGCGGCTTGGCCTGCACAACGACACACACCGGGCTGAGCTCCCTTCGGACTTCCGGGTACCCGCCGAGATCGCGGGTTCGATACCCACCGAAGGCGCTCCGCGTTTATTTAATTTTTTACCCCCGCGATGCGGTGAAAACGCACCGAGCGCACACTTTACAGTTTCCAGTGTCAGCGTGTTCCAAAACTCAGTACCCAAAAGTGATAGTAATTCGCCTGCGGTTGCTCTATGAGTACTATCCGAATTCGGGAGGTACACTAGACTCTCGTTGGCGCGGGGAAACGGCGGCGGCAATGATGGGGCATCGGGTGGCGCCTCGCCGTGCCTGCACTGCAAGGCACTGCAAGGCACTGCCTGCTCGATAATTATGAAGCGGGCATTGCGCGAGTGGCGCGAACACACTTTGCCGGCGGTAATGGCGCCGGCGTGCCGCGCCGTGCCGCGCCGTGCCACGCCGCACCCGATGTTTACATCCTCCGTAGGATCAGGCACGACGTGCGTGGGAGGGAAAGCCCAAGCCGGCGGATGCGCGATCTAGTTCGGCCAACAACAACAACAACAACAACAACAACAACAACAACAACATAACAACAACAACAAAACCAACAACAAGGACAATAACAAATAGTTGTTAAACTTCAGAAAAATTGGCAAAAGGTAACAATACTTGGAACGCAAACCTCACGCTGAAAACCTTACGAAGTATTTTGAGCACACAGTACACAGTTTGTGCAGAAATAGTTCGTAAATTACCAAGTATTTTCTTTGTAAGCTTATAATGTTTGCTCAAAATACTTTGTTATGACAAGCTACTCTTGTTTGTAAAGGCGAAAACAGTTTGTAAGGTTTTAGAGTGCACAAAAAAAATTCCTGAAATTTGAAGAGAACCACGCCGACACAGAAA